AAGTCAGATGCAGGAAGACAAACACTATATGATTTTACTATATGATTTTACTCGTGTAATATATATGGAGAAACCAAATAAATGAACTAAATAAAATGAAAATAAACTTTCCAAATAAAAGACCAACTAGTGGTTATCACAAAGGAAGGGGGAAGAGCAAAGAGGGACAAGTAAGTTGGGTAAAAGGGGCCAGATGTATTGGGGGAAGATGGAATTGAACTTTTAGGGTTCAACTTTATGTAGTGTGTACATGCACGATTCAATGTTATATCCAGTGTTACTTAAAAAAGAAAAAAAAATCTCCAGCTTTAAAGATTACCTTTAAAAATTAATACTTACTGTTTTTGTAAGGGAAGATTTTTTTTTTAAAGATTTAATTATGCATATAAGAGCTGGGGTGTAGGGTAAAGGTGTAGGGGCATGAGAGGATTCACCAGACACAGAGTGGGGAGCAGAACAGGTGGATTGACTGAACTACACTGCTGAGGGGAGCAGCAGGTGAGACAGGAGAGGTCTGCTGTGCCGTGTGGTCACCTCCCTGGCCTGGGATCAAACTTGCACCACAGTGGCTGGTGACAGCTTCATAGTGCTGAGACTTACTTGCACCACCAGGAAGGCCCACTTTACTAGTTTTTTAAAAACAATTCAAATTAATTGGTTTATTCCCTAATTTTTCCTTTATTGTTGAATTTCAATCTCTGCGTTTAGATCCATGTTTTCTCCCTATTTATATAATTAAATATTTATGTTTAGTTCTTCAACACACTAAAAAAAATAAGTACTTTATATCAAACATTATACACACACATATACATGCCTGTATAAGGTGATCTCAGTTTTTTCCCATAGCATATAACAGATTTTCTTCTTTCTGTTATCTTTTAATATAATTAATTGTGGACGATTTTAAAGGCAGGATGAGTTATTCATTATCTACTCTTAGCTTAACCTTAAGAGAAATTCTGTGGTAATTTTAATTTCAAGTTAGTCTACATTCCAACTCACCTACCACAATGAATTGGAGTAGCCTTGTCATAAGAGAACTCACATTAAAATGATTTATACCAGTAAGTTAAATTTTTACTTTATAATAGGAGTTGTGTCTAAACAGTAACCAGAAGTTCTGTACCTGTTATCTAAGCCACCCTCTTAGTGAATATTTCTCCACACCTAGCCTCCTCCACCAGAAAAAAAAAAAAATTTATAGTGATTGGAATATCCATACAGCCCCTATTTAAATCATGACATGCAAATATTTGCAAACTTGACATCTCACCAGAGTTCCATTCTATTTCCAACTGCTTTCCAGGTATCATATACCCAAACTTAACAATGGCGTTTCAACTGGATAGGATTTCAGAGCTGAATCCTATTACCCTAACCCTCGAACTCATTCTTTCTATCCCCACAATCCAATACCAAATCCTCTTTCCTATCCCGTGTTCCATAGTTTGGGCACTGATATCACTAGCCACCCAGGATTCAAAGTAAAATTCCTCATTATTCTTTACTCCCTAATTCCATGTACTTAACCAGTCACCAGCTTTTATTTTACTTCCGGAGTATTTTTCCTTTTGTCCCTTTGCCATTTTCACTGCCATTGTCCACCCTGATTGGACAATTGCCATAGCCCCTTAACTGGTCTCACAGGTCCATCCCTTCATCCTGACAAACTCACTCCACATAAATGATTTTTAAATTGGGGTGTGCTTTAAAATCCTGTTTCCCCTTTCACATTTAGTAAATTGAGGGTAGACCTTGGGTATCTTATTTTCCAGAAAGCTTTCCAGATGATTCTTATGCATGCCCCTTATTAAAATCAGTACTTTATAAACTTCTAGAGTACTTTACAAAGCTCAACTATAATCATATCACCTTTTGTCTTATCAATAATGTTTGCCCTGTCGCCCACAGTACAAATTCCAACTTCTTAGTTTGTGGTAGAACAGGCTTGCATTTTTAGTGTCTCCTACAAATGGCTTTGGGACCAGTCAAGTAGGTTAAACCCAACCATATCATACATTTTTGGATGTCTGTGCCTTTTCTAATATCATTTCTTCTCTCTAGGGTGGACTTTTTGTTCTACTACTGGAAAGTTCTCTCCTCAATACTAATTCATTCTGACTACTTTTTCCCCCTCCATCCTTCCAGACAGGTGTAGCTCTTCCTCTTGAGTTGTTAATATTTTGTCCTTGCTTGCTCTCCTTGCTCTGCATTGTAGTGATGTGTGTGCACCATCTCATAGTCAGGTCATTAGATGAAAACTGTTATGAGTTGGCAGCCAGTAGAGGGCCTCTTTCCCTTTGATTAATAATTATCAGTTCCTCTCCAAGTCTTCTCCTTACACCATCCTCTTCTGATTGGAAAATTCTTTTTACCTACATCATCTACCTGCACCCTCATTTAAAAAAAGAGAGATGTCTTATTAGCAAAAGAACTTTCCAGATCTGCTCCAAGTGGTGGCTGGTACATCATGGGGCTCACTGGTACCTGAGTGTACCTCGCTGAGATCCTCACCAAGGGAAGATGTAGGACATTGGGTGATAAGTTGAAGATTTTCATCTGGTTTTGGATGTTAAAAAAAATCAACAAAGCCAATTTGATAAGTTGTGTCAATTGTTTTGCCATGTGCGTGTCTGTAACTGGTGCCATTGACATCTACTTCCTACCCTGGTGCCTTCTTTACAGCTATCTCTTATAAGACTGATGAAGCAGGTTTTTAGCCATTCATTTTTTGTGTATTACATCTCCTAAGACCACGTCTGCTCCCGGCTTTCATAGGCAATCTTGGAGCATGTCCTCATCTGAGGCCCCTTAATGTTCTCAAATGCCTCTTTCATCATGGATTTTACACACATGCCTGTTTCTCTCACTAAACATGGGACATTTGGAAAGGGTCTGAAATTTAGGGGCAGTTATAATTCACTAAGATGCACAATGTAATCCTTAATGCCTGGGAAGCACTCACTGATGGGTGTGCTGTAAGATAATAGCTGCCAAGAGGTAGAGATGATTCTTAAAGACTTTTGTGACATGCAACCAAACTGTTATAAACAATAAAATGTTATCACGTGGATTAATGTCTAAGGAATTTAAAAATGTTTTTTCCCATTGTCATTTTCCTCTGAGAATGTCAAAGGAAATTGAATGCAGCAGTAAATAGCTTCAGCATTGAATACACCAGGTAGCTGCATTCCTTCCCAGGCAATGTGAGCTGGCCTTGTCTTATTTTGGAAACGAGTGTTAATAAGATGTTAAAGAAGCAAAGCTTATTCTTTTTCTAGGACCAGAATGTTCTGATGCCCTCAAGTATGAAAAGCTATGATGCTGCATTTGTTTCCCTCATAGGAATTGTCTCCTGTTCCAGTTAGACAATTGATTTAAAAGAACTAGAGGCAAAAAATATATAAAATTAAGCTAACTTATGTGTACACTTCCATCACTGGTCAATCTAAAACAATGGACTTAACGGCTATGATTCAGTATAGCCACTAGCACTAATAGACTGGAAAGTTTAGAGCCAAATTGAATGTCTGTCTGAAAGGCAGGTAGTAAGATGAGTAATGTGGAATTAAATTCCAGCCTAGAAAGTCACATTTCAGTTCTGAGTGTCTCACTTGGAGACGTGTCACACAAAGGGAAGATTGTGTAACAATAAGCATAATGTATATATGGTTTACAAATCAAGAGACCTAAACTTGTCCCCTGAGAATTACTTTCCTTCTCTGCTCCTCTCTGTTAAATGGGAAACCCTTAAAAAGATTTGCCTTTCCAGAAATGAAATTGGTTTTAAAAATAGAAGGGTAAGGAGAAAGGGAGGAAAGAGGCAGGGAGGGAGGGGGCAGGAGAGGGGAAAGGTGAGAGAGGGAGCAGGAGGAATAGGTTGATGACAGACACATCCATCCCTCTTCACCTTTCCCCTAGATTCCTGGGCCCTATCTGAAAATGTTCCCCCTTGATCCTTTATTTGAATGTTCTACTAAGAAATCTACAGAACAATAAAGGCTAAAGTCCCTTAGTACTCCCCAAGAGGGACTTAAGTATAACCTCCACAAAAGCAATTTACATAATTAACTCAGCTCTAAAAAAGATGCTGAAACCAGAAGGTGGTTCCCAAGCACCTAAATATGAGAAAAGGGCTTTTCTGCTTTTAATGGACTAATTTCTCTTGAAAAGTACTACTTTCAATTTAGGAGAGGAAGTGAGAAATTCCCTGGAAGGAACTTGTAGCAACAAATGCTAAACCTGGTGGGAGGAGCAACTGAAGAGTGGCTCAGAGCAGAATAATAGGTTCCTTTCCAAGTGTGCTTGTGCTTGAATTTGCTCATTCACGATGGTGAAATGAGAAATAGGCCTGGAGTCCAGAAAACCAAAGACTGGCCATCCAGAATGCTTACTTCACATTTAACTTTGGGTTCTGTTATAAAAAAGCTCTTATTAGACTTTGGGTCTAAAGTATGACTTCATTGAGATGTTAATAAAGGCTCAGTAAATAAAATCTCATAAGTAACAGTTTAGTTGTTTCTATGAAAAGTATACCAACTGGGTCTGAGCAGGCAGTGAGCTCAAACCAGATCTCAGGGTGTCTGACCTTTGTGACTGACCAAAGCACCAAACACCTGTGGTCCTGTACAATCCACCAGTTACAATCCTAACACCTGAATGGCAGAGAAATGAACCAGGGCGCACAGTTCGGAGACTTGTGCCCTAAAACCAGCGTCTGAAAGCTGCCCCCAGAGCTGTGTGGGAGAGGAGCCTCTCCTGGCCGGCCAGGCCTGCGGCCAGAGGCATGGTCCGAGGCTTGAGGCTTGGGGTGGGGGGGAGCCCTTCTTGCTGAATCACAGGCCACAGGCAGGTAGCGGTCTCTCTCCCTCCACTCCCCACAGGCCCCAGGGGCTTATCAGAAATGATAGTTGGTTCTTTTGCCCTTATCACTATTTCATGTGTTTCCTCAGTCACATTGGTAATTATTAATATAATGTCAATGTTTTTCCTTCCAGCCCTCCTCGCCCTCTGACGAATAGCAGCGACACCATGGTGAGCCACTTGCCCACCGGGGCACCCACTCCCACCAAGAGGTACGTGTGGCTGAGCTCAGGTCGAGGCCTGGCACGTTAGCACCACCCCCCCCGGGGGCTCTCAGGGGGCCTGGCTCATCAGTGATGCCCCCCTTAGTAGTATTTTCTGCTTTTTATCTTCCGTTTTTCCCCCACTAGCTCATAAATAGATCAGCTATAGGAGTCGCTTTTTTTGAGTGGCGCCTGAGATGAACAGTGTCAAAGCAGATGGGCATGGTCGAGATCTTTTTAAAATATAGTCAACGGCATTTTGCGATCATGAGTTTTAAGAATTTTACCTGAGTTCTTTGAGTATCTAAGATCATTTCTGCTTCCTGAGCAGACTCTGTCAATTGAATTAATCTCCTGTAAATATTCTCCTAGATCATCCTGTATGTGGTTCATAAACATTTAGGTTGGAACGCCTGAGTCTATCTCTCACTGTACACAGGGGCTTTCTTTAGGGCCCGTCAAGGACCTAGAACTGCGCACTCCTCATTTAATTTACTCTTCTCTCAGGCAAGACTTAAAAGAACTATATAAATGGCTTACTTTTTATTTGATTAAGCTGTTCCATGACCAAAGCAGAAACTCCCTCAAGGGCACAACCATTAGAGAATTTTTTCTAACAGCCATCACTCAAAAGAAAAAACAACAAAGACATTCCAGCCCACTACCCAAGTCCTTTCTGGAGAAAGCCGCGCTGTGCCCTGTGTACTGACTGCTCCGGGCTAGCTCAGCTGTGGAAAAGTCACCTACTTAATAGGCTTTGACTGAATACGTAAAGCTTAAAATCAACTCTGTGTGTCCCTACGGACGAAAACTCCAAGATGAGGGAAGAATCACCTGTGTCACTTGTTAAAAATACAAATTTCTGGAACCTTATATATCCAGAGAGCCTAAGGAGCTGCGTTTTATTTTATTATTTTTTTAAGATTTCTTTCTTTATGCATAGAAGAACTGGGGTACAGGCCAGAGGTGTGGGGTGGGGGCAGTGAGAGGAGTCTCCAGAGACAGAGTGGGGAGCAGAACAGGTGGATCTACTGGAACACACTGCTCCTCTCAGCAGTGGGCAGGTCAGGAGAGGTCTGCTGCGCCATGTGGGTCAGCTCCCTGGCCGGGGATTGAACTCAGAGCTGCAAGTGACTGCAGACAGTGCCATAGTGCTGTGCTTTAATCAGTTGTGCCCTCCGGAAGGGCGCAGGAGCTGCATTTTAAACAAGTATTCCAGCTGATTCTTATCATCAAGCAAGACTAGAAAATAAGGGCTCCCCTGGAATAGAAGATTAGGGGCTTAAGTCAGAGTAACCTGATAAAACAGTGTAGTCTGGACACCCAGTGGGGGAGTTGGGGATAGAGCCCTTACCCCACCTGTTGAGACACTTGTAGCAGGATGAACAAACAAGCCACTTCTTTTGGACAGAGCTGAGCTGGTGTCCTGTTCCAGAACAAGGACTTTCGAGCCAGACTGGCTACTCTCCTGACCTGAAACAAGATTCTTATCTCTTTTTTTATCTATAAAATGGAAATAATAATAGTATCTTCCTTATGAGGTTTAGGTGGGAATGTTAGGTACTGTTGTTACCTTTTCCCAAACAGATGGGGGGAAAAAGAACAAGTTAGGAACAGTGCCCTCCCGAGGAGGAATAGCAAGCTTCTAGAAGAATAGAATGCCATTAAATCTCTGCCATCTACTAGATATTATAACACCCTTGCTGACCTTAGTCCTTAGTTTTTTACATTAAGTACAGGAACGTCCACATCCAAACCCAGAATCTAAATATCAGCTCAGGGAGGTTTCCTTTTCAAACCTGGGAAAACAGGCGGGCTGGCGAAAGACTCAGCCTGTGGGCTTTGTGTTTTAGCCCTGCTCAGTGGTAGGTCTCGGCCCATCTGAGATCTCTCCCTTGTGACTAGTCTTGTCGCTCCACCGTGCACTCAGGGACCACACTCGGACCTCGGCCTCTGTTGCGTCGCTGTGAGAGGCAGCCAGAGGGTGCAGCTTTCTGACAGCCTTGCTGCTTGAAAAGACTGAAAGGAGCGACCCGGAGCAGAAATAATCACAGCTGCCTCTGGAAGGACTGACCTTTAGACTCGCTGTCACTGTGAAAGTCCAGGGACCAGCTATAGTTGTCAACAACAAAATGATACCTATCATTTTTGAAAGTTATTTCAAATAATATAGCATAGGTTGGATTAAGCTTTTATTTTTAAAGTCAGTATTTCAGCCAGCACCTCCTTCTCAATAGAATTGCCCACCAAGAGCTGCCCAGTAGAGCAGAGGTGCTCAAGCGTTTAGCAGACCAAGACAAGCCGCTGCTTCACAGGAGGCTGTCTGGGCTCAAGAGGCCCCTGGCAATGCGGATCTTAGAGTTTTAGGAGTGTTCGCCTATATTTATGTGGAGATTGTAGACATTAATTGCATAGCGTAGACAGACTTGGCCCTGCGAGGCTCAGTTAGCACAGCACCCAACGCCAGCTAGTGTTCTGTTTATTTGCCCAAGGACTCAATCAGTTTTTCTTCCTTTCTCTGAATGTCGTCAGACCTGTGTCTCCAGAGTCTGATGAAAGCCAGGAACCCAGACACTTTCCTGGGGCAGAGACTCCCCAAGGGGGAGAAGGAGGTTTCCTTTAGAACTTAACACGAGACATTCATCACTGAGTTAGATGAGAACATGCATCATGAGAAAAATGCAGGAAAAATGTAAGAACTCCAGTTTCTACCTTCTCAATAGGTAGTGCGTATGAGGTGGGAAGACAGTAGTCAGACAGTACTACAGCAGGCCAAAGAAAAGGCCATCTCGGGTGGGAGGGTTACTCTGTGAAGAAAGCCTTACAAATGGCAAAGATGCTGGCGAAGATGTTCCTGAGATAGTTATGTTACGGAGATTTCCCCTCCATAACATTCTTTTAATATGGCCATGTCTACATTTCTGTAACTGAAAAGATCTGTCTTTGTCTCAGACTACTTTCTATACATTTGCTTTCCTTTTTTATTTTTAGACTTATTTTTGCATACAGATCTGGGGTACAGGCCAGAGGCACAGGGACGGTGAGAGGATTCGGCAGAAGCAGAGCGGGGAGCAGGACAGACTGACAGAGTACACTGCTGAGGGGAGCAGTGGGCAAAACAGTAGAGGTCTGCTGTGCCAGGCAGGTCAGCTCCCTGGGATTGAACTCATGCCAGAGTGGCTGCAGCCAGCTTTGTAGTGCTGTGCTTCAACCTACTGCAGCACCAGGGAGGGCCCAAAATTTGCTTTCTTTCAAAAGAATCAGCATATTACATTTACGAACAACAAAACACTTTTATAACTTGAAAACAGATGCCGGGACCCCTTCCTCATCTGATTGCCTCCTAGGCTGGCTTCTGGTCTGCCCTGCCCAATCCAGAATGTAAGCTGTTGCCATGCTCTGTGCTGTTGCACGGTATTCAGTCATTCCTGGTATTCACACACCAATGTGGAAATTGATGCTAATGCATTTAAAGCTTTAGCTTTGATTCTTTATGAATATTCAAATTTTTACCATTCTGTGCGAATTTCATGTAACTCTGGAAGTAACAAGAACCTTCAGTAGGAATCTTTCTGCTTTGTGCAGCTTAACTCTTTTAAAATCAGCAATTAAGACCTAACTTTAAAAAGCCCAGACACAGGCGAGGTGAAAGCATTCTCATGACCTGTGCTATAACGTTGTGCTTATAATTGCCAGCACTGCACTAGACATGAAAAATTTGTGGGTAGATATGCTGTTGTATGTTCTTCCCACAGGAAAAGGAAGAAAGGAAGGAATGGGAAAGGGAAGGGAGGAAAGAAAGAAAGGAGGAAAGGGCGATACGTGTAAAAGCAAAGGCAGAGTCAGAGAAGAAAAGCGGAGTGGGCCTGGCTGGCCGTGGGCCTGGTGTGCTGCCTCTTCCCTGCCCCTGGCAGTGCCCCAACTTCCTGCCCGCCAGTTTCCCTGGGCCTTGTCCTTGTCGAATAGGGAAGCTCTCCTTATCTTACCACCTGCAGAGACAGCCTGGGTCTGCCTGCCTAGGGTGTGTCCATTCAAATGGAATAGCTCTAGATGTCTTTTTGTGATGCATTAACCCGCTCTGTGTGGACAAACGGGAAGCTCTAGGTGAGCACTCAGCCAGATAGAAGCTACTCTGGGGTAGACAGGCCAGGATGGGGCGGAACAGCTTGCCATAGTGAGGCACATTTACTGTTTCCGCCTAAAGCGCCATTATAATGACCAAGAGAAATTCTTTGACAAGTAAAAACCCACAATAACAAAGGAAAATGGAAGAGACGATAGCAGCTCCAATTTGGAAGCAGCAAGGCGGAGTGAGGAGTTGTAGGTTTTGAAGCCTGGAGAAAGGAAAAGCTAAACTGGCGGCGAGACGCTAGAAGAGCTGAGATTTATGTTTGGGGCTCTGGAACAGGAAAGCCCTCACTGTCTTATTACCTCCGCCTTGGTGGGCAGAGTGCTGCCCGGCCGCCAGTCCTCTCTCTCACAGCATCATGCTGGACACTTGGTCACCGCGTCCTGTCCCTCCCCTCGAGCCGCCTGCGGCCCTCCGTGCGCGCCACCAGGCCTCCGTCCCAGGGTCCCAAAGATGGCGGTTTCTCTGCTCGGTCCCCTCACCAGGGTGGAGCGTTTTGCTGCCATCCACACCTCAGCTTGACTCAGCTAGATGACAAAATGGTACACCCCGTTTCTGGCATCCACTTTTATTTTAGTCAGAACACTTGGCTGTGACAGAAACTCAGTTTGAATTAGCTTGGGGCAAACAAAATGTTTCCATAGCCCTGCTGTGGGAGGAATAGGGTGGTGGGCGGCACTGCCTCAGGGGTGACCAGAGCAGGGGACTCTGCCTCTTCAACACCCCCCCTTCCCCAACCCCTCTGGGCCTTGCTGTTTCCACTTCACACCAGCTTCATTGTTCCCCCACAGCCACCTTTGCCACAGCAGGGCTTTGGCTACAAGACCCAACATGCGTATGCATGGCCACACTGTCCTGAGGGACGACCCCTCTTCTCCTGGTTCTAGCTTGGAAACTCCCAGTGAAAGTTCTGTCTAGTCGGTTTTGAGTCATCTCCTCTATCATCTCCTCTACCCAGGGCTTTTCTTTTTAGTGGCCCTGCCTAGAATAACTGACTGGATGGGTGGGGACGCTTCTCCCAAAAGAGAAGTTCTGCTGCCCCTGGAAAAGATGGAGGCCCTGAAGAGCACATTGCTGTAGGCCTTGTTTCTGGGGCTCTGTGTCTGTGTAAGTATATGACATCACGCCTCCATGGTAAAGTCTATTTCAGGGGGCCCCATCCCCCAGAGCCACCCTATTTTTATTTCTCACAAAGGTTAAGTCATGCTTTATAATCTGTTTATGAGATGTTTGGCACCTAACACCGTGTTCGGGCAGTAGCAGGTAGTTCTGAATGTTACCAATCACTAGTGATCTTGCAGTCAGTCACGACTTCATCCATTAGGACTTTTTTACTTTCACACTTACTTCATAGGAAGGAAATGCAGTTTTTAGAGGCCAGAATTTACCACTATGTAAATATTACTTCAAGGTGTAGAAACGTGACCAAGTTAAGAGATCATTTGTACTGTTATGCTATTAAAGTGCCTTTGCGTGGGTGCCATGGTGAAGCGTTGATGTTGTGGAATGAAAAAACCACCGTCTGCAGTATCACAGACTGAGGACAAAGGTGCTGGGCAAACTACGAAAGGAGGCAAGATGGAGTTGGTGAAGCCAGGTACTATTACCGACTCAGGGCTCTCATTTTCTTGCCTGGGGATTAGCACGATCACCACTTAGCCTGAGTTCGATCCCCAGCCAGGGAGGTGACTGACATGGCGCAGCAGACTTCTCCTGTCTCTCCCACTGCTCCCCCCAGCACTGTATTTCAGTACATCTCTGGTGAAGCCTCTCACTCCTATCCCTGTACCTCTGGTCTTCACCAAAAAATAAAAAAAGCAACAAAAGCAAGAATTGGTAAGTAAGGGTTTCAGCGTGGACATGAACAACTACCTCGAATGATTTCTTCATGGAAATCTTTCCCTGGTAACACAGGTTTTTCCCTCCTCCAATCCTATTTTGAAAGTCAGAAAAGTAGAGTAATTGAAAATTAACACATAGTCTTCAGGAACTGCAGAGTCCTCTGTGTTGGCAGATTTCCAAAGTCCATCTGATGGCCTGGGCACATTGCCAGTTTTCAACTGCTTCTGGGTTGGTATTAAATTCCATTTCCATTCAAGCGTTCAAGGTAAACCCCTCAGCAATTCTAACGCAGGTTAGTACAAACAAAAACTTTTTGAGTATTTCCAAGTCCATACTTTAAAACCTTAGTATGAAAAATTGAAGCTGACAGAAATATGGTAACTAATAGTTTCCTCCCCTCATTGGACTGAGGCCTGAAGTCTTGAACATGAGCAAGAATCGCATCCATCATAGACTGTCAGAGCAGAGTGGAAGAAGAAACAGGTTTGGGGAGAAAGATCGTCAATCTGGTATTAACAGACTCAGGTTGAGATACGAGCAGGATCCTGGGAGTGGAGACAGGCACTGCGGGTTTTGGAAGGAGTTCAAGGAGGAGGGCTTCTCATTCTCCAGGCTGGGACACAAATGAAGAGGACACTGTGATTGCCCAGACTTTCTGCCTGGCCATTTGTGAAACTCCAGTGCAGGATACATGCAAAGTCAGCCTTACTAAGAACGAGACAGAGGCTAGAGTCTAGGGAAGCTGGAATTTGCCAAACTGCCTTTAATATGATGGGAAAGGAAGCATGCAGAGAAGTGTAGAGACAGACCCCAAGTCTGCACGGAGGCACCATGCATCTTTGGGTGAAACTGAGGTCTCTATGTGTGGACTGAGATTTCGTAAACCAGCAGAACTACTGGAAAAGAACCGTTCTGGGGATGTGAAAGTGGAATAATTACCTGCAATTTTGAGCAGTTGTCTCTGTCCCAAACAGCCAGAGTAGAAAGACTGTTGAACACCGAAGACATGGGCAAGCAGGACAAAAGTAGCCGTGGAAAAACAAGTCTAGATCGACACTGATGAAACTCTTACAGCAAACCTGAGAAGGGTCAGATTGCCCACAAGTAAACTAAACTACCATATTCTTTAGAAGGAGACATTTTCATTTAACAAAATAATAGTCACAATTTCCTTTATCGAGTAAAAAAACTAAAGGACCTAGGAAGAAGCAGGAGAAAAGTAGTCAATATAAACAAAGCCAGAAAGACAGACATATTATAATTAGCAGATATAAACTTAAACAATGCCAGAGGTAACTAACAAAAATATAAAGGAAATAGGAAACATAAGGAGAAAATGAAAAAGAGCCAAGTGTAAGTGTAATTGGAACTTTCCGTGTGTGTGTGTGTGTATATATAGCCTACCTCAATAAAAGTGTTTAAATGAAAAACTAAAACTTCTAGCGTTGAAAAAAATAATGCCTGAGGTGAAAAATTCAGTGAACTTAATAGTAAATCAGAACTTGCCAAAGAAAAGTAACACAAACTCCCCAAATGTGAGGCACAGACAGGAGAATGGTAGAAAACAAACAAGTTCAGTGACTCGTGGACGGTATCAAGCAGTCTTAACAGGAGGGAAAGAAGAGTATTTAAAGAAGTAATTTCTCCAAATATGAAAAATTTGATGAAAACTTAGCCTACAGGTACAATAAGCTCAAAAATCTTTAAGTAGGATAAATACAGAGAAAAACAGACCAAGAGATATCACAGTCAAATACTGAAAACAATAAAGAAGATATTTAAAACAGTTAAAGGGGAGGGAAAGACATTAAATATGAGAGAGCAAAGCCAAGACTATTCAATGGCTTACTAAAAACACTGTGAGCTAGAAGAAAACAGGAAGACATCTGAAAGTAAGGAGAGAACTTATCTTTCTCCTTTTTACAGGGTGTAAGTTTCCTAAGCTTTAGCCCCCTGAAAAATCCGAGAAGCGGTGAGCTTTCAGGCATTCTGACATGGTCTCTAAGTACTCTGAGGGACAGAAAACCAGAACCCTCAGGGATTGGTTGGGGCCAACTGCGAGACAGGACATGTGTGAGACAGAACAAACAGCATCCAGAAGATGACTGCAGTAGATCAAATGTGACACCCAGAAATCTATCAGTTCGTAATGATACTGAAGAAAACTCCTTGGTAACCATCGGAGGTTGCTAGGTTGCTAACTCATTTTTCTGGAGTTTGTTAAATAATAACATATCAATTTAGTTGTGAAATGTGCTCTTCGAGGTGCAAGCTAATGTGACCAAGTGGGAGTTGCCCCCCAACAGTCCTGGGCCAGCCCCCTCACTTTACAGCACATGTGGCTATCTGCTGCTGTCTTGGATTGCCAAGAGGCTCGAACTGGAGACAGAGCAATCTGAGGAGGGAAAAGGTTTTTTTTTTTAAATCAAGTATTTGTTTAACCTTTGCTAAATGGTGTTTCAGGATAAATAGATGGAATTGATAGATAATAGAAATTGCGGAAAAGATGATGAAATTGGGAAAACCAACATTTGGCACCTCCTAGTGAAATAGTGACTCTAAACAAGAATCTTCAGTAAATACTGAAACCTTTAGGTGAAAGTCAAAGGATTTTATAAGAGAGATGTCACCAATGACATCAGAATCCACATTTACATTTCACCCTATCATGTACCTCCTGTTTGAGTAAGTACACCTTATTACCCATGGTGACTTCTAGCCCCTTCTCAAGAACAAAAGCAAAAACTTTAATGAAACATCTAGAGCTAACCACAGAGGATAAAAAAAACAAATGATACCACAGAAAACAGTCAAATCCAGAATGTAAAGCATGTTACAGAGAAACCTGCTTTCTTCATAAATAAATGACATGAGAAAAACAGGGAAAAGGAAGAACAGTTGCAGAGTAAAAAAAAGCCAACACACCATACCAACACACACGAAAACCCAGATTAATCAACTGCAAAGAGTGGCCCTTGTTTGGATCTTGACTTTAAGAAAAGATGTTTTTTCAGATTTGAGGAAATTTTCAAATGGACTGAGGTTTGAGAGTTTTTGTTAAATGTTTCAGATGTGGCAGTAGCACTGAGGTTATGTAAATGTTCTTCACTCTCTGATACAGGTACAGGCTCAATTATTCCTCGGTGAAATAATAAATTGCCACCCTTCCAGCACAAAAAATTGGGGGAGATAGAATAGCTGAAACAAATTAACAGAATGCTGACTTTGCTGGTGTGAGCACGGGGATATGCGAGGTGGTCATTAAAATACTCTGTTGTGCATGTTTTAACATTTCTATAACTGTTTCAAAAAGAAGATTATGTCAGTATATCTACAGGAAACAACAACCTCTGGTATAGATTGTGTCCAGTGGAGTCTTAGGTATATTCATAACAAGTTTGGCTGAAAGCAGAAAGGCGCTGAGGTTGTGTCCTTACACAAATGAGGAAGGTTAATAACAGTGTAAGCAGCTCACTCTGAACACTCTTACATGGAGACAGATGCCGTGAACATGTGAAGGGGCCACTTGGTGATGTGACGTAGGACCTTTCTGCCTCAGTTTCCCTGGCCAGGGGCCATGCCCTCACAGGGGCACCTGTCACAGGACCTAGAATCTGGACAGAGCTGGTTGGGCAAGGCTCCAGCTGACCCCTCTCCTTGGTTTCTTCTTCTCAGGGGCTGTAGACTCAGTCTGCCAGAGCCATCTCAAGGACTGTTTTTGTTCAGAGACTCTGTGAAATGTATTTGCTATGGTCTAATATCATGTACTCCATTATGCATTTTTTTATTGTTTTCCTTACCATGAGTTGGTGCTGTTTTCTATTTTTCTTTGAAGTTCCCATTTTAACCATGTTCATTTCTCGCTTTGTGTTTGTGTCATGCTTGCTGTCTTTGCCTCCATTGTTCCCAGGTTACAGTACAGCCAGTGTGAGACAGGACACTTGGCCGATGAGCATGCGCTGATAGCCTCCTATGTGGCCCGTCTGCAGCACTGTGCACGGTCAGTGGTAGGGCAGGCGGGGGGCCGAGTGGCTGACCGCAGGAGGGAGAGCTGCGTTACCAGGGTGCCCGTTGGAAAAGCTCTGCATGTGGGGTTTTTCTGGAGAAGCGACCAACTGCGCTTGGCAGACTTTAAATAATTGCTAAAATATTCGCTGCTGAAAGAGAAGGAGGCTTGCCAGGCCCAGGCACTTACCGAAGCACATAGTTGAACGTTGTCCTTAGAGTCCACCTTCTTTAGCTTACACCCAAACACTATATAAACCTCAGGCAAATGTGCAGCCCCAAAGCTGTATGTGCACAGAGGTATTTGGTGCAACCTCTGACTGTTCATTCTTAGCTAATAATGGAATCTTCCTATTGACCTTCAAAATTTAAAGTTCATCAGTCCACAGATACTTCACTTGATCTAATTTGGGGGCTTTGATACCATCTCCCTGTTGTATCTTCACCATTGTCTAGTTCCTCCAAGTCTGTCATTGTTGATTGTTGATTATTTAGTGCTTTTCAGTAGTGGTACTGAATCATTGTTACCTGAGGCTTTCCCCCAAACTACACATATATATATATACACACACACATACATATACATACATACATACATATACACATACATATACGTGTGTATATATATAAGGAGAAGTATACACACACATACATACAAGGAGAAGTGTATCATACACACACACACAGAAGTATATACGTGCACACACTTCTCCTTATATGATAAGTGCGTTTGTGTGTATAATAATTACATGTTTTAGAATAATCTTCGCATAGCCTTCCCCTGAAAATGTGGCAGTGACTTGCTACTAATATGGGAATACAACTGGTACCTCAGTGGGTTAGGATGAGAAGATGCTTGATAATTGCTAGCTACAGCAAAGTTAACCCTTTGATTTTAGCCAAAATGCTTTTCTAGTCAGGTAGACTCAAAGCTACCTGCTTACTCTATGCCCACCCCACCCCATTTTACAGGGAAAACAGCAGGTAAATTTGAATAACTGAAGCCACTCCTCTATACACTTCTCTATATTCCTCTACACAGCAGCACAGGATCCTTGCCAAACTACTTGAGCTTCTTATTCTTGGAGAGAAAACCATAATTTATAAACTAAATACATAAGAAGTGGAGCCTTAAATCTTGACCTGAATTTTGCCCACAACATGCCATGGCTCTATTAGAAGGTTATTTTATCTTCCTTATAATAACAGAAGAAAAAGTTAATAATATCAATATATAGGTCATATATATTTTTTATTGCACTCTCTACAGTTTCCCTACTATGACTGTATAACATTGTTACTTGTTACTTTCTAGTGTTTCTAAAGGTTTAGAGAAACTTTAGGTTCTTCTACCTCTTAAGTATGCTTGATAGGCGTATCTTGTGGGTAGGAAAGAAGAATCTGATATCATGCATCATATCACAAAGATGCCTCCTCATCCAACTAATGACATCTTGCACTCTGCCCCAGCCCCTAGGTCTCTGAGAATATAGTTGCCCCAGAGCTGGCAAGACAGCTTACTTATTACCAGTAGGGCAATTGTCCAAGTGATTAAAGTTTCATGGGGAAAATAGCAGCAGAATGTTAGGCTATTGCCCTATGTCTCATTCCAAGATTTATGATAGATTTAGTCAAGATCCTCAACTCTCATGCTTGAGGATTGGCTCCCTGAGCAGGAATTGCAGCCCGGAGGCTGGGAAACGCAAGGGCGGGTGAGCATGGCGTCTCTTCTGCATGTTTAGTCTAAAGTACTGAGCTTCGTAGGTGAAATGGCCACATATTTCTGGTAAATTCTAGAAGTGAAAATCAGCTCAAGCAGAAGAATAAGGATCCATTCTAATTCCCTGGCAATTTTCAGGGAATCTACTATCAACATACATAACGTTCTGGTTTCTGGCTAGAAAGCACAACCAATTAAAGTGACCAAGTCATTGGGGTACGCAGGTGTAAATGACAAATGGGGTTAACCTTCCTAGGGAGATGGAATGTGCTGGAGAAGGAGCAGTTCTTTTTCACAAAGGAGCCTGTTGTGCTTCATGCCAAGAAACAGGTCAGCCATGTTAGGTCTGCCAACCCTTTCATAATATTAACTACTTGTATTGTTAATGTTCATTTTTGCTCTTTGTTTCAAATATAAGGATATTTTCCTATTTCAGACAAACACATTTAAAGAAAAATATAGTTCAGCCCTGACTTAGAGTATTGACCCTTGGGTATTAAAATTATTTTTCATTATATGATAAGTTACAGATAACATGTTCTCACAACAAGTTAACTTTTGAGACAGTGATTGTACGTGCTGGAGACTGACACTTGCACTCCTAAAATAATAAAATTATTGACAAGTACCACAGGCAGAAGACTTAAAGCAAATCTTAGCAAAAAAAGAAATCCCTCCAAGACGGAAAAATAAGTCAAACTTCAAGGATTAAGCACAAAGATGGAAATACGGGAAAGTGAAAAAATAGCCTAGGAAAAATACCAATGTAAAAATGTCAGAAGAGGCCCATTGATTAAATTCACCCTTCCCAGATGCCCCTCAGCAATTATAACCAGGTTTGATGAGTGTTAACTCATGTCTTTAAGTTTTTTCACATTACTTGTCCTCCTGCTAAATTCCAATCAGGAGTCTCTGGGGCTCCAGTAACAGCCATAATAGCCACAAGCACAGCAGGTCTCTCTGCGGCCAGTTGTCAACCCCACGTTGTCTGTAAGCATGTGCCAAAGGTAAACAGAGACAGTCGTGGAGCCACTCCCGCAGTTAGTCTAGCTGCTGCCTAACATGGATAGACAGCACTGATAGTACTGTAAATAGACGCCTTCTAAGTTAGCCCACAGTCAGTTGCAAGGTCCGTATGAGTATGTCCTACACAGAGCGAGCTCACCACTCCAGAGCGCCCCCTCCTTCCAGGGGGACATTGTCTGATGTCCTGTCTGCGGGAGCTTTAGCTTTTTAGAGTGTTAGTACTCTTATTAAGGTGTAATGGATTCAGTTGATCTGCTCTAAATTAGAGCTTTGGTTGTGGGACACACATGGTAAAAGAAGAGAAGAGACCTGAAAGGGCGTGTTTGATACCCCGGAATGTTCTTCAGCTTCACCATATGTTGGGCCTGCCCTGGCAGCATCCTCAGTTCTGCTCAGCCAGTGTTAGGTGTACTTCTCATCAACCTTTATTTTCTATCATGCTTTTGGAATCCAAAGCCTGTGCCCAAATGTCGTAAGTTTTTTTCTAAAACATTTTATTAGAAATCCGTCTGCTGGACTTTGTAGATGCCCCATCTTCCCTCAACCCTCGTGTTCAACAGGAAGCCCCTTAGCTGGGGTAGGAGCGGAGGGGCAATGCTGGGGAGCCGCGCAGCGTCCGTGGCTTCGTCATTTCTCTGGATTCCATCTCCTCAGAAGACCATTAGTATCCATGACCCAGGCCTCCATTTCTTTTTTTTACCATTTTTTTTTATAAGCTTTTCTCCCACCTCTTCTTTCTGAGGGAAAAGCAAGCGTAGGGGATGTTTTATAGACACCTGTTGAATGTTTATCTCCTTGGCAGTGTCCTGGACAGCCCTAGCCGACTGGACGAGGAACACCGGCTTATTGCTCGCTACGCCGCCCGGCTGGCTGCCGAGGCAGGAAACGCGGTGAGTGAACAGACGTTCCAGTGAGTAGCACAGATTAGCATTAAGTAATATGTAGGAGCTCAGGAGATCGGGACCGCAGGGATTCAGGAGAGGAGTGGGCTTAAGGAAGGAGCTGCGGTGGCCTTCATCTGTGTTTTCCAACAAAGGAAAGTCAATGAGTCAGAATTTGGGGTTTTTTGTTTGTTTGTTTCCATTAAAACCCTAGAAATCCTGATTAAGAAAAAAGGGAAGGGGCCACCCTAGTGGTGCAGAGGGTTAAGTCTCAGCACTATAATCTCTCCTCAGCCACTGAGCTGACCCCCAGGGCACAGCAGACCTCGCTGGTCTCCCCGCAGCTCCCCTCAGCAGTGTATTGCAGTTGATCTGCTTTTTCTTCTCCCATTGTGTCTTGGTGAGTCCTTTCAGCCCCCACACCTCTGGCATGTACCCCAGGTCTTGTTTGCATCAATAAATAAACCTTTTTAAAAAATAAAAAAAAGGGAAGAAGAAAAACACAAATTACCAATGTCATGAATGAGAGAAGGGTCGCCACTACAGACATTCCTGGAGGCATAAGGAAATTCTACAACCAACTTTTTGCCCATAAATTTGACAGCCTGGGACCCTCCCTGGTGGTGTAACGGGTTAAAGTGCAGCACTGCAAAGTGAGCCACTGCCACTTCAGCGCCAATTCGATCCCCAGCCAGGGAGCTGACCCACAGGGCGCAGCAGACTTCTCCTGACCCGCCTGCTGCTCCCCTCAGCAGTGTACTTCATAGATCTGCCTGTGCTGATCCCCACTCTGTCTCTGGTGAACTCTCTCACCATCCCTGTACCTCTGGCCTGTACCCCAGTTCTGTATGCATAAATAAATAAATATTTACAAAATAAATAAATAAAAATTCCTAAGATCTATAACTATAGAACAGATATGTAGATTTATGGCAGTGTTACAAAATACAAAGTATACAAAAAGAAAAACTCAAGAAAATTACCATTAACAAATACCATCAGTATTAAAGACATTAGCTCCTTATGGGTAAATTGAATGAAAGATGTTCAAAACAAAAAAGTTAGCAGTATTCTATACATTGCTAAGAGAATTTGAACAAAAAAAAACTAAATAAATGGAGAGATACAATGTATTTATGGATTGAAAGAGTCGATATTGTTAAGATGGCAGCTTTTCTAAAATTGCTCTAAGATTCAATAGCAATCACTGTACCCATGAGCTTTGTGTGTGTGTATGTAGACATTGACCAACTGGTTTTAAAATGTTTGGGAGATTAAAGAACTTAGAATAATACAATAGTCTTGAAAAAGAAGAACAGAGTTGTAGGAAATCTACTTGGCACCAAGATTTACTCTAGAGCCACAGAAATCAACCAAGTGTGGTAGATATTGACTGATAAGTTAACTAAACTTATAGTGGGAATCACAGAGTGGTCTGTACATGGAAACGTATACAACATCACATGTCAATTATATCTCAGTAAAACTGGAAAGAAAATGAAGTGATATTAGCAAGATGATAAACAAATCAAGGGAACAGAGTAGAGTGTTTGTAAAATACACACACACGTATGGAGTCAAGTGACTTTGCCAAGAGCACAAAAGCGATTCAGTTGGGAAAGGAGAATGTTTCTGATAAATGCTGTTGGCACAGGTGTGTGTGTGACGATGTAGACATGTATCTACAGATACATGAAGAGAAGAATCACAACCTTGACCTCATAGCCTACATGAAAACCAACCTAGAAATGTATCATAACCTTAAAAATAAAAGCTGAAACCTTTATAAAGCTACTGAAAGAAAGCATAGAAAATTATCTTGGGCCTCCCCAGTGGCTAAGTTGAATCCCCGGCCAGGGAGCTGACCCACAGGGCGCAGCAGGCCTTCCTGTCTCTCTCGCTGCTCCCCTCAGCAGTGTGTGTCAGTAGCACTCAGGTTCTACTCCCACTCTGTCTCTGGTGAGTCCTCTCACTGCTCACACCTCTGGCCTGTGTGCCAGTTCTTATATGCATAAATAAATAAAAATTTTTGTACAAGAAAATTATCTTCATAACCTTGGGGTAAGCAAAGATTTTAAGAGAGGTTATGGGAATCACAAACTGTTAAACACACACATACACTGACAGACTGAGCCTCATCAGTGGCTCCTTGGGGATTTGTTACATGTGTCTGTAGTTTTGAAAAAATTTGTAATAAAATGTTTCCTTCTTTCTTTTCAAACTTTTAATTTCTTAAAGAGTTATATGTATTTTAATTCCCATCCCCCACCCCTTCCACACACACTTTCACTTTATACATTAGGTACATGTTTATTTTATTTTTGTGATGTGCCTGAGTGGCTACTAGTCTGCCCTTAGGGGACAGTAGTGACAGAGAAAAGCATTTGACAGATAATCTCATTATTAAACCTTAATGTGAATAATCAAGTACAATGAAGGAAAAATAAGAGCGGTATTTCTATTTCTATGCCAGAAAGTAAAAGGTGGCTTCTGTGAGAAAGTGTTACTTAAACTGGAATCTGAAAACAGGTAGAATGTGATTTAATTTCTTTGTAACTAAAAAAGACTAAAATCCAAGATAACCCCAGAGCTGCTATGACTGCCATCCTTGCCTTGTGCTCGGGTTTTAATTGTCATGTGTGCCTTGGCAAACCTGTCACTTACAAAGGAGAAAGTGGGGTGAGGTACAAGCAGGCCAGAGCTTCTAGGCTCGTGTTCTCTGCACTGTGCAGAAATGGGTACCAACTTATGTCTGCTGCCTCACAGAGAAAGCTGTCAGTGCCAGAGAATTCTTGCTTTGTTTCTCCCAGGGAAAGTAATTTTTTTCTTCAGGGTTGTTTAGACTTGAAAATGTTTCCCTGAAGGATCTATTATTAAGTGATGCATCTGAGTCTATATTGGAACTCAAAAGGTTCATGGGATGGAACAGAGTAAGGGGGGAGGTATGGGAAAAAGAAGAGTTTCATGTAACTAAACATTATAAAAGCCCCTAGTCAGTCACAATTGTTCGGGCTATTTTAGGAGTTAAAAGTTATAAGTAAAATCAGTTACATTTGTTAAGATGAACAGCATTATGGTTGGTTTTAAAATTAGGTATACTTAATAAAATGATATAGCCTTGTTACTTTACACAGTACTTTTAAATACTTGTAAATTAAAAACTACAAAGTTGGGCCCTCCCTGGTGGTGCCACAGGTCAGGATGCATCACTGGCCCCGGAGGTGACCCACATGGCGCGGCAGACCTCTCCTGACCCACCCACTGCTCCCCTCAGCAGTGTTCTTCAATGATCTGCCTGTTCTGCTCCCCACTCTGTCTCTGGTGAAGCCAGAGACACCTGCACCTGCCCCTACACCTCTGGCTTGTACCCCAGTTCTGCGTGCATAAATAAATAAATCTTAAAAAAAAAAAAAAAAGAAAGAAAGAAAAACAACTACAAGGTCATCTGACCCTGCAAAAGCTATCCTACTATTCCTTCACTGCGAGCAAGATAAGTCTGTTTACATCTGACACCATTTCTCTAAATAAAAATGATACTTTTTAGAATCGTTGTGAGACTGAATAGTGGGCCCTTTCATCTTCAATTTGCTTCCAAAATGTGATAGAAGTATTGGGCCTATCAGGAAGGATGATTCTTGACTAGATTTCTGTTAAACACCAGACTTCTAATCCTCTAATCTTTCACTGATAAAGTGCTTTGCATAAAGTGGGTGTAGTGCTCAAAAGTATTTATAGCCTGCCAGATAGACATTGTATTGATTCTCCCCCCCCCCCTCCACGAAGAAGGGCTATTAAATCATTTTAGTAGCCAGCATCACACCCTAAAATATGCTTCTGCTACAGGGCCATTGGTTCCCCCTAGATGAGAGGCAGGGCCGCAGAAATCTTTCCAAACTGACCCTTGAATAAGGAAACTATAGTTTGCTGAGATGAGCCAAGAGAGCTCATTAGTTTTCCTGAAGTGCCCAAATCCCCCTTTTCCAAAAAAAAAAAAGCTACATTATGTGGTAAATCATAATAATGACAGCAAATTCTTAGTCTCAGCACAAACCACCAGCCTTAGGTATCACTACATTTTCTTTTTGCTAATCTTTGAATTTTTTTCTTTAATATAAAACTCATGAAAAACTTACATGTAATCATTTTTTTAAAAGTTTTTATTTAGTTTTTATTTATTTTTATTTTATTTAGTTTTTATTTAGTTATGCATACAAGAACTGGGATGTAGGCCAGAGGTGCAGGGGCCGTGGGAGGATTCACCAGCAGAGTGGGGAGCAGCACAGGCCGACTGACGAAGTCCACTGCTGAGGGGAGCAGCGGGCGGGTCAGGAGAGGGCTGCCACGCCATGTGTCAGCTCTTGGGGCTGCCGATTGAACTTGCAGTGAAATGGCTGCCTCTCGCTTGCAGTGCTGAGCTTTAACCCGCTGTGCCACTAGGGAGGGCCCCACATGAAATAGTTAAGAAGGGGGAACCATTGCCTGTTGTCAGACGACCGAACGTGTGTACATTTTTGAGGTTTCTTCAGCGAGCACAGTTCCAGCCTTCCCAGCCTCATCACGTGTCAGCTGCTCCAGGCATGCACCATCCTGATGCCTTCTTAGAATTGCAGATTAACAGTATCCATGTGGTGTTTTATACACATTTAATGACTCCAAACTCCATAAAATCATCATTGTCAAACTTGGCTCCCTATTATAATTATGCATGAAGCATTTAGCAAATATATAGATTCTTGGCATGGCAGATGTGCTGTATCAGAATCTCTGTGCTTAGGTCCGTTGGTTTTTATTTTAACAAGAAAACAATCTTCTGATTTACCACTAGCTTGGAAGGCACCTAAAAACTGGGTTAGAGAGAAGCCATGACCCTCCAGTTGGTCTGAGTGAGGCTGGGATGGTGCCGATGGCCCCCTGGGGTGAAGAGAAAGTAGAGACCAGGCACATGGCTCTGGAACTCATGCTGCCAGGTGCATGGGTGCACAGAGAGAAGAGGCCTCCAGTCTCTTCAG